TTTTTATTTTATTTTTTATACACTTTCACTTGCTCGTAATTTGAAACGGCAGTGCTGGGTGTTAACTGAATCCAATCAGCGGATTAAAATGAAGTGCTGCCATTACAAAATATGTGCTCTGTTCTACTCAATTATTTTTAAATTTTATCTGGAATTTCATTTTTTGATGTGGATTTCTCTTTTTTTTCTTTTTTGTTGCTAATTTTTTATTACATTTTCGTGGCGGATTAATTTCATAAAGGAGTTTTATGCATAAAGCACGAGAATGTGTTCTTAACAAGAGTCGAAATGCGATTGCGAATGGCATTATTAATATTTATTTTTGTAAGGCAGTTATGCCAAAACCAAACGCAATGAAATTTTTATTTTTATTTTATCGTACTCAATAAAATTTAATACAATAAAATTAGGTCAAGTTATGCGTATTTTACACAGAAACTTTTAATAAACCACATTGAAATAATGCAGTAATTGATGTTGCATGTATGTAAAGTATTGGAACAATTTACGTATTTTATTAGTTGAGTTGCATGATATATAATTCGTATTAACATTGCTAAACAGTGCTAAAGATCGAATCATACTAATAACTACTACAATATCATATAACATTAACATAATTTATTTTCCCCAATTTTGATTTTCTATAAATCAGTTACTTAAACCTATTATAACGTAATGGCATGAAGACGAACCATTCACAATGATCCCAGTGTTTTAATATAGCTAAATAATAACCGAAGAATGATAAATATATTGAATACAGAAATATCGTTAGGAAAAAAGTCGAAAAGTCAATATCTGAAAAGATAAACCACGTACTAATCACAAGTTTCACATATTATAAGTGATACTATAAGGAAGCCGTTAAGAAAATCGTGGAAACAACTCTCTTTAATACTTTTGTGTGGGAATAAATATATATAGCTATAAATATATATAGTTATAAATATATATGGTTATAAATATATATAGTTAGAAATATATATATATGTAAACACATATATGTAAACACAGTATTGCGCAGTATTCTTAATATTTTAACCTATATATTGAGCTATAATGAAGAGACAGATGCATAAAGTCAACAAAGTGCCCTTTAATCTTTCAAAACGTCTTAATTATACAGTTACAACATATTGTAGATGATTTTTTGTGACATAGCCTGTTCGCTAAAGGCCTTCTTCAATATTCTCAACGTTTCTACAACAAAAATTTTATTACCTGAGTAAAATTTAAAGCAACATCTTACCTCAACAAAATTTTACACAATGCAAATAGTTATATGAACTACATTTTCCTCACACAATATGTTAGTAACAATAGAATCAATGCAGATATACACAACAAATTGAACAATGACGTCAGTGACAGTGCTACCAACCTTAAGAGGTAACTTAATTGATAAACTTGATTTTATTCTGGCTTTATTCTAACCTTAACTCAAGAAGCTCAGGACAACTTGATCAAATTTTAAGTAATTGTTTAATAAAGCGTTTGAAACACACAATAGCTCTTTAATCTCACCTTAATTACATTTCAAATATTGTTACTATTTTTCCAATTTAATCTCAGTTTTATGCTAAACCTCAACATATGTTATTAGTCTTAGATGCTGCACATTCCTATGGGACATTCCTATTCTAACTATATAATCGAGAAGTACGCTATTGTTTATTTAGCAGAAAACTGTAATGGAAAATTTAAAAATATTTATTTCATTTGTTTATGGAAATAAAAATATGCTTATTTACAAAAATTTAAATATATTTATTTAATTTACTTATGAATACAACTATAAATAAAAATAAATGAAAATATCGATATTATTTAATTACATCGACTTCTCTTCTATTATAATCTGCAAACAATTGCTGTCAATTTTTAATTGCCAAAAAAATCACTTGGTCTTCAAATACATTATATTAGATATGTTGAAATAATTTTTTTTATTTTTCTTTTTAAATTTTTTAAAATTTTTTTTATTTAAAATTTTTTGATGAAATCATTTCACAAACAAATTCTCATTCTGCGTTTAAGTTAAGTTCTACAATAATTTTATATGGAAAGTGTCATTAAATTTAAAAGCTCTCAGAAATCAAAGAAAAATTTACAATATAAGAAACTAAAATGAAAATAAAGAAAAAAAGAAAAAAATGCAGAATATAAAATTTTAACTTTGCCACTTAACAAAATTGAATATGGAAATTGGTTTTCATTGTTATTTACTTCGATTATTTATATTGGCGCTAGACATTAAACTTAACCGCCTAAGAAAAAGAATTCGAATAGCAAAGATGGATGAAATAAAGTAGAATAAGACAAAGTGAATTTCGCTGGAAGCAGCATAAACAAAGAAGGCTCGAAAACCGAAAGCAATAACAACAAAAAGTGGCTAAAACTGCCGCTTAAGTAGTTGGCATGATTTTCTATTAAGTAAAGCAGCAGACGCCATATTGTAAACGCCATATTTAAATTGTGTACTTGTGTGAACTCTCGCATTGGAGGCACATAGCATTGTGCACCGGAAATAGAATTGGGAAAGATCAAAGTAATTCATTGCCGCTACAATATCAGCAGACTTTGCATACAAAACCGATAAATGTTCCAAATGCCTTTTTCTTTCCCCATTCTTTCTCTGGTTTCTGTGTTTCCATTTTGCGGTTGCCATTTTGGAAATTAAATAAACATTTAATAACAGTAAATATGCTTCATTTAAAGTGATACCAGCAGCTCAACTTTATTTGGTAGAAATAATATTTATATAATAAGAAATTTGATTTTCAACATTAAAGTGACTTCATTTGTTTACTTGAACAATCAGGCCTCCATCACTCTTTCTTGAAACCAAAAAAAAAAAGTAAGTGGAGGATTTGACTTCGTTGAAACTGGAATATATTTAACACTGAGCTATGGAAAATTGAATGAAGAAACTTATACCTTATTAAATGTGATTAAAAATCTGAAAAACAAAAATTTAATATATTGTGTTAAATATTTAAAATTAAATAACTGAAGAAAAAAAAATTCACTCAAATTTTAATTTTGATAATTTAATAATTTGTCATTAATTTTTATTAAAAATAGAACGGTGTTAATATTTATATTAAAATTATCTGGAACACTTATACATTGTGTGATATATGTGATCTCATACCCATATCACATTACAAGATGAAATTCATAAATAAAAAAAGCTCACATATCATATACAAAGCTAATACTAAGACATCCAGAAATACTAAAAACAAATCGATAGTTCTAATATCAAATAAAAAAATTTTAATGAGAATTTATTCCAAAGTGTAGGTGAGCAATAAAATTATTTCCTTGTTAAACTCCTCCTACAATCAGCATTTTTCTTTTTATTTTATAAATTTATCATAGACTCTATTTTACATTTAGGCCGTGTGCGAGTTCGACTAAATTAAGGTAAAGAAAATTGAAATTTTCTAGGGACCATTTGCACTGCACATATTATAAATATATATTTATTTATTTATTGTTTCTGGTTAAAAATGTTCAAGTTTATTTATTAAACATCTTATAAAAGTTTCACAATGGTAATACCCAATTTACCCTATTCGAAATTCTGGTAAATACCAACATTCGCTGCCATACCGACGTAATTTACAATTTCCCTCAATTTACTTGAAATCGCACACAACCTTAATATATATACCGATTCTATATATTTTAATCACACCTGTTCCAAATTATTTGGAACTAAACACTTTTACAGAATCTTGAACAAATTTTTTTGTTATGGACCTTTCTGGGCCCAAGATTGTCCAAATTTCACGTAAGTTCGCTAAAATGACAGAAAGACACAAAACTAGAACGTTAATCTTGTACCGTATTTATGGCATTGTAGAATAAACTGTAACTCATAAACATTAAAAACCCAATTATTGCCAGACTCTTTTTGAAATATACAGAGCAACAAGTCTAATACCTAATGAGAATTATAATTATTCAAATCAATATTATTTTTTCTTATGTTACTAGTACATAAAAAATTTTTGCAAAAGGCCAGACCATTAGTTAATTAGTTGAAAACTTTTTGCTTAATCATATTTTTCTGAAACAAAATGTTAGTGAATTAATAATTTCTACTTAGGTTCTTGAACTGTCAAATATACACTACTTTAAGCAAATAGCTTAAAGAACGTTAGTTTCGGCTAACTAACTACTTATATTAGTTTTCCACTGATTCTCTAATTAATCGCGACTCGTTCTCAAGGCGAACTCTCCCAACTCTCAATGCAGTCTCAATCTGGTCTCAACTTGAGAATTATCTTTAGAAACGTACACAGGCTTAAAAACGTTTCTAGATTAGACGAACTTAAGTCTTGTGCCATTAACCTATGGCTTTTTGGAGATCTTTGCTTAGTGGAGGTCTCTTAAATAGATAACCCCCCAAAAGAAGCATTATATAGCTTAATTTCCGAGCAGCTTCAATGTTAAAAGGAAATTCACAACTTTGTAGTTAATATATAGTACATATATATATGTATATCAGTGTGAATATATTTCTAAAATAACTATAAATATTTTACAATGGATTAAAAAATTTAATATAATTTAGATTTTTTATGCAACATCAAGTTTTAAGTACCTAAAATAAATATTATAGTCAATTCATGTAAAATTCGACAAATAAATTTAATATAATTTAAGCAAAATAATATTTTACTTCTAATAGGTATTAAGAAAAAAATTAAATAATTTAATGTAAAACAAATAAATATAAAAGTTAAACATAAACTGCAGTAGTGATGTCACTTCAATGCAAAACACAGAAGTCACTGATAAATCCAGTTGGAGTCAACGTTTTTGTTTTGTTTAAAGCCGCAGGAGACACGAAACAATAGAGCAAAATTTATGTAAATGACAAGAAATATAGATGATGACTCTGGTTATGGTAATACGGAAGACGATGTCGCTGCACTTCTAACCACAACCGGAGTAATAAAAGTATTGCATTGGGTGTGAGAATGTTAGGTGTTGTGGTGAGGCGATGTAGAGATGATGAAGAAATGCATCCCCAATCCTGGTAAAGTGATTGCATACATTGTGCAGCGCAGACAAAAGGTAAATGTTGTGTGAATAAATGAATGTGAGGAAATGAATGCAGACAGAGAACAAGAAATTAGCGACTTAAACATAACAGGATAACAGGTTAGAGCATGTAGTACAAGGCATTATAAGAATATTCATTGTACTTTGGATTTATTTGCGGTGCTCAATCAACATTAAATGTAGGAATAAAAACTTGCTTCTTTTCAGTTACTGCAATAATAACTACAAGGTTCTATGATTAATCTGTAATATATATTAGAAGTGCTTTCAAAAAAATTCTACTTAAATTTATTAAATAAAGTTTTTTTTTGCTTAAATATTCGTTGCAGTCAAAGATATCTTCAATTTTTATTGTATTTATAACTCAAAATGTAAGTAATTCTGCTAAGCTTTAAAGTAGACGTTTTTTTTAAAAAAAAAATAATAGAATATTTTAACCTAAGAATTCATTTGAACTTATTGGTATATTGTACATCTCACAAGTAGCTCATTCCACAAAAAAAAACGCAGCTCATTTAGACCCCTTATATGGACCTGCTGTGATACCACAATTTATTTATAATAAGATATTTATTTTATGTTAATATTTTTCCTTAGTAAAATATATTTTATTTCTTTAATAAAATTTTTATTGTTAATAATATCTACAGTAAAACATATTATTGGTTCCATAAGAAAATAATATAAAGCTTCAACGAAAACTCCACAAGAAAAAATCTTTTAAAAATTTTAATCAAACTTATTAATTAATTATTGTACTTTAAGTCAAACCAAGCCAAAGAGACTTATCTTTAAAGTTGAAGTAATAAAATATTTTAATTTTAATCTTAAACATCATTACCGTAACACAAGGAAGGCATTCGTTAATAAATAAAAGAATGGCAGGTGGTTTCTGTTCATATTGTCAACGCTCTCATTCACTGCAATAAATTCCATCAAACGTAGAATATGTGAAAGCAACGAATCCGTCCTGACCATAATCTATACTGTAAATTTAATGATTTTATAGTAGGGAAGATTGAAGGACTATGGCTTGTTTTACTTCAAATTTTAATTAAAGGAATTGAATTTTACCGGACATAAAGCCGCTTACGAAGTTGATTAACATGAATTAATTACACTACAAAAAACCAAAGAAGTTACTTTCAAGATATTGAATTATGTTGATATCGTTATTTTTATTTAAAAAAGTTTAATCTTAGTATTAAATATAGTTGACCATTAAATAGAGTATCATAAAAATCTCACTAGTTGTTTAAAGTTTGATCAACGATTTTGAACAGCAATATTATAGTTGACTGCTGACGACAGAAGATTTTCAAGTTGAAAATGACTCTTCATAGAGCGTTAAAAAAGGATATGCTATATCACTTTACCACCAAACTGAAATCGGTAGATATTTGAAAAGTTAAAAAACGTAGCAGCTGTTGTGCATACAATTGCCTAATGTGTAGCTTTTTTATTAATGGAAAAAAGTATTTAAATCAGTCAAGAAATTCACACACCACAGGCATATTGTCAATTGAAACAATATTTGGTCCCATATGTCGTGATAGTGGATTGCATCAGGGTCCTGATATTGCCTGCGCAAAGCTATCTCCAGAATTGGTGAGGTATAGTCAGACGCCAAACTCAATGTTGTTGCTAAGGAGCAAATCTCTAGCCGATGCAGAGCACGTTCCTGAATTTCCAACAGAACCGTACGACTCTCAGCGGATTCTGTAAAAAGGGATAATCATGCGGTCATGGTTGTTAGTAATTTTGAAGTCCAAGTTAATGCGAATGTTTATAGTAAAAAAATTTTGAGAGAAAAGATAATGTATATATCAATATAGTTCGACATTGTTTGAAAAATAGCATTACTCGTTATTTTGATAGCCTTCTGCTCTCCATACTTACTACCTAAGTCTCGTAACTTGTTGTCAAACATATTGTAAGCCAGAATAAGTACTAAAAAATACCAATAAAAAATTATTATTCATAAAAGCCTAAATATTAATTATATACCTTCCACATTTAAACTTCAACTAAATAGTCAAAGAACTTGTAACATTTTAGTCCCGAAACTAATTTTCTATAATTTTTATCAATTATTCTAAGTCAGCCACACATTAGAAATAATAATCACAGCAATGAACTTTAATAATCACAAGAACTTTGCTAAGTTTTCCCAATGTGCGTGCAAAGTGAAGTGTTAATTGAATAATTTAGATTAGAACTTCGTACATAATTTAATATGGCTCCTACCACTTCCCTAGTATCGCAATTATACGAACTTTTCGTTTCCTGTCAACTGGTGCATATATCCTTAAAACAGTAATAGTGAGTAAGTCATTTCAGAAATTTGCTTTAATCATTAATTTGAATTGAAATGTAGAAATTGCTATTTAATGAAGTATTCCTACATTTATGATTTTTGAAAGAGCTAATAGTATGCACTTGAAGAAAGTATACACCTAATTGTAGTTAAAGTGATCAAACTTCATTTTATCGTTGAAATGGGTCTCATTTAAAATTATTTAGTTTCAATCACGTAGGCCATAAAGTTATTTGAACCCTATAGCCTAGATTAGAT